CTGATCGCCGCCCGCCACGGGCACCTGGAGGTGGTGGAGTACCTGCTGGATCACTGCGGCGCCCGTGTGGAGGAGGGGGGCTCGGTCAACTTCGATGGGGAGACCATCGAGGGGGCCCCGCCGCTCTGGGCGGCCTCTGCTGCCGGGCACCTGGGGGTGGTGCGCAGCCTCCTGGATCACGGCGCCTCGGTGAACCAGACCACGCTGACCAACTCCACGCCGCTGCGGGCCGCTTGCTTCGATGGGCACCTGGAGATCGTGCGCTATTTAGTCGGGGAGCGTGGGGCTGACCTGGAAGTAGCCAACCGGCACGGACACACTTGCTTGATGATTTCTTGCTACAAAGGGCACCGGGAAATAGCACGTTATTTGCTTGAGAAAGGGGCTGATGTCAACCGCCGGAGCGTGAAGGGGAATACGGCCTTGCATGACTGTGCCGAGTCTGGCAGCCTGGAGATTCTGCAGCTGCTGCTCCGCTCCAAAGCCCGCATGGAGAAAGACGGCTATGGCATGACTCCTCTGCTCGCCGCCAGCGTCACCGGGCACACCAACATCGTGGAGTACCTCATCCAAGGAGAGCTGCAGGAGGAGGAGGTTGCAGGGAGCCAAAATGGGACCTGTGCCTCAGGGGGGAGCCATCAGAGGTGCTGCAGCGCTGGCAAGGAAGCTCCTCGGGGCTGCAGTGAAGAGGTGTGTGAGAGATGTTGTGCCTCAGCTTCCAGTCAGGATGAGCAGCAGGTCCCTAACGTATTCTGCACTCGAGAGGCTGCTGTGGAAGCACTGGAGTTGCTGGGTGCTACGTTTGTGGACAAGAAACGTGACCTTTTGGGAGCTCACAAGTACTGGCGAAGGGCGATGGAGCTTCGGTGTGAGGGGGGGCAATACCTGCCTAAACCCGAGCCCCGGCAGCTGGTGTTGGCCTACGACTATTCCCGGGAAGTGAGTTCGCTGGAGGAACTGGAAGCCTTGATTACCGATCCTGACGAGATGCGCATGCAGGCGCTGCTGATCAGAGAGCGCATCCTGGGGCCTTCCCACCCAGACACTTCCTATTACATCCGCTACCGAGGAGCTGTCTATGCTGACTCCGGCAACTTCGAACGCTGCATTAACCTGTGGAAGTACGCTCTGGACATGCAGCAAGGCAACCTGGAGCCTCTCAGCCCCATGACTGCCAGCAGCTTCCTTTCCTTCGCAGAGCTTTTCTCTTACGTGCTTCAGGACCGCTCCAAAGGCACTTTAGCTACGCACTTGGGCTTCTCTGACCTCATGGGAGTACTGAGCAAAGGGGTCCGGGAGGTGGAGAGGGCTCTTATGCACGGCAAGGACCCTGTAGTCGACTCGGCGCAGTTCACCAAGACGCTGGCCATTATCCTCCACCTCGTCTTCTTGCTGGAGAAGGTGGAGTGCACCCCGGAGCAGGAGCACCAGAAGCGCCAGACCATCTACCGCCTGCTGAAGTGCAGCCCCCGGGCCAAGAACGGCTTCACTCCTTTGCATATGGCTGTGGACAAAGACACCACAACCGTGGGACGTTATCCCGTGGGCAAGTTCCCGTCGCTGCACGTTGTGAACTTGCTGCTGGAGTGCGGGGCTGACCCGGACAGCCGTGACTACGACAACAACACCCCGCTGCACATTGCCGCCCGCAACAGCTGCCCACTGATCATGAGCGCCCTGATGGAGGCCGGAGCCCACATGGACGCCACCAATGCCTTCAAGCAGACTGCGTACGAGCTGCTGGACGAGAAGCTGCTCACCAAGAGCATGATGCAGCCCTTCAACTACATCACCCTCCAGTGCCTTGCTGCTCGCGCCCTGGACAAGCACAAGATTCCCTACAAGGGTTTCATCCCCGAGGAGCTGGAAGCCTTCATTGAGCTGCACTAGGACGGGAGAGCGGAAGGTCCCAGCCTTTCCCGTCGCCTGTTTCCCCCCACAGAGGTAGCACAGCCTGAGGTCTCGGGCCCTCCTTGCCAAGGTGCTGAAGGCTGTCGCCGTGCTGAGACGGGCTGCGAGCTTTGTCCCCATCTGTCACCACGGACCTGGCGTGCGCAGGGGTAGGAAGCTCACGGCTGTCCCTCGTTGTTGTCATCTTCAGGTGCCAGAGCTTCCTGGTGCGCTGTCTTGTCCTGAGAAGGAAGGAAAACGGAGATCCCTGGGACCTGCTGCCTCTCCTGTTAGTGCTGGATTAACTCAGCAGCTCCACATCACACACACGCTCTAGCTCTTCCCGTCCCAAATCCTGAACAGATAGGAATGCAAGTGAGGAATAAAATACCTTCCCACTAATTCTTTCCCCACCCCTTTCTCAGATCTGGTACAGAGTGTGACAGCCTGGTGGCTTGTGCTCTGCTGAGGTAGTTGCCTTGCATGGCGGTAGGGCTGGGTATGCTGAGGATGGTTATTTTTCTCTCTCCCTTGGTTGGTCAAGTAGCAAATGGTGTTAAAGGCCTGAGATTTCAATGATTGTGCTTAAAGTTGGGTTATTTTTTCTCTTCTAGAGCCAGGCCCTATCTATGCTGCAAGCTTTCTTCAATCCCGTAAGGTGTAGTAAAGTCAGTTCTGGTTACACAGTTTCCTCGACAGATATTGGTTTTTATGAGTGGGGAGGAAAAACTACTTCAAATTCTAAATACTGATGTGGCGTTCAGGCCCTTGGCTTGCCCATTCTGCCCACGTTCGCTCCCTTCCCCTCACCAAGGTCCTTCAGCTCCAGAGATCGGCAGGGCCTGAGCTGCACAGGGTGGCTGTGGGCAGGTGTCAGAGCCAAACCAGAGCACTTGGAGTCGTCTTTGAGGATGTGCTCGTGCAGACCTTCCAGGATGGGAGGCACCTGTAGTGTGGGTGCTGCGTGGGGGGTATTGAAGCAAGTGAGCGGTGGTGGCTTGTTTGCATGAGGGTGGGCTGAAGGAAGGAGCAAGAAAGATATGAAAGTTAAAGGTGCCACCTTGTTCTGAGGTTTGTTGGTATCAACCCATTAGGCTCTGTTAATTGACCGACACGGAGCAGGTTGTTGGCATCTGGTGTTGGCTTTTGATTCTTTTTGCAACTTTACTGAGGATGGTGCTATTTCGGAGGCTGAATTTGAAATCTCACTTGGTTACTGGTTGGGCAAGCTCCTTTCTCTGATTAGGATCTGCACACAACTCGTTTTCTCTTTAAATCCGTGGTCTCAGGGTAGGTGTTTGCCTCCGTTTGCAGAGCCCTCCTCGGTGGTGAACAGCCGGTGTTGGGAAACACGAGGCTGCTCCAAGAGCTGATCTTGCAGGGGGGTGCCTGGGCCTTGGCAGCCTCTGGGGCCCATTTCGTGGCCCTCAGCAGGGTGGAAGATGCAGCTGGGGAGAAGGGAGAAGCAGCTGAGCTTTGGGAAAGGTCAAGACTGGGAGAGCAGAACCCTGATTAACACCCAAGTACTGTCTGCTACTGAAGCTTCTCTGCTTGTGTTGATAAGCCAGCAGATGCGTATGCCTCAATAACCCAGTGCTCTCTGCCCCTTCAAGGTGTTGTAGATCTGCCATGACATTTTTGCAGTGTTAACTATACAATTTATTTATAAAGCGAGGAGGTTTAACTTTTATTGAGATGTAAAGTGCAGAGTTAGTTTAGCTATGTTCTACTTTATTTTATTTTTTCCTTCTGGCTGAAACCTGAACTAAACCGCAGGAATGGAATTTGTTCATTTGTGAGCTGATGAGCGCTCTTAACTTTAAATAATAAAACAAAAAATGGCTGCTAGAATGCAAGTGCCTTGGACTTCTTGCTGGTAAGCCTCTGTTTTCAGCTTGTTTCCTAGGGATGGTGCACTTGTGGGTGCAGAAATACCGGGTGTTTGCCATCAGCAGATGTGACTGTTTCATTTAATCTGAATTTACTCCTGGAAAAGCTAATCTGCAAACGTTTCCCCTGAAAAAGGGTAACACATTGGAGTGACATCTCTTACTATATACATTACCTTTGGGTGTAAATGGAGCAGTGTGAACGGGTGCTCCTCTGTTGACTCGGGTATTGACTGTTGACTCCCTTTCATGCAGCTGGGACTGTGGGCACTGCGAGCAGGAGGAGGGACGCACCATGGCTGTCACCAGTTCGTGGTGTTCAACCCCAGAGCTGTCAGTGGGAGGTAAAAGCAGACAGGAATTAAAGGTACTGCAGTTCATTCCACACAATAATTCACATTTCCAAAGTGCTCGGCCTTCCCCAGGGAGGGTGGGAGCAGATGGATGAAATATTGGAATGTCTGTCCCGTCACGGATGGCACCGTCCTCAGAAGTGACTGCGGTGCTCTCTGACTGCGGTCCCTGGGAGCTCTGCCACAGCTGGGATGGGGAAGCACCTCTGCATTTGGGATCTTGTGATCACACACCTGCGGGATCCAGTCAGGGGCAGCAGCCTCAAAGAGGAGTATACTTTGTGTGGTAGAAAAGGGCTTTGAATTTTTCCTTTTAACACAAATAACCTGTGATTACACAGTAAGGACCCAGCAATTAAATGTTGACAGTAATTACCAGGTGGGAGAAATCGCTGCGTTAATTTAGGGGTAATTGCAATGAAGGGTCCTTATTTATTGTAGGTGTAGTCTGGGCCAGCTCCAGTATTTGGGACAAAACAAGGAGTGGTGGGCAGCAGTGAAGCGTTTCAGTGATTGTTTTGTTTTCTGAGTAATTGTCTTGGGCAGAGAGTGGAGGAGTTTTTCACTGGGGTGGCTGCAGTGAAAGCACACCGCTCTCGAACAAATGTCTGCTTTTATTAATTCCTTACAGCTGAGATGTGCTCTTCTCTCCCTAGTACTGGTTATGGGCTCTCTGACAATGAAGCTTCCTATACAGGTTTTTTTAGAAATGCAAAAGCGGGAAGAAACTCACGGGGGTTTTCCTGGAGCCAGTTGCTGGTGCCTTTCTGTGGACGTTTTTGGAGCCTTCTCATGCTGTGAAATCAGTGTTTACACAAAGTGGCCTGGAGCACAAAGATGGGGACACCATGACAACGTTTCCTGGAGGAACTGGGGAAGAGCGAGGGGGTGGTGGGCACACGTGTGTTCTCCTGGTGAAAACGGGGCCCTGGTGCACAGCTTCCTTTCAGGGTGAGCAGCAGCAGAGGGGCCCTGAAGACGTGGGGTGAGTGACGTTCACGCAGGGCTGTGGCTCTGAAGTGGAAGTTGCTCCCTGCAACCTTTGAGCCTCTGCCCTCCATGCACCATAAGATTATGAAAAGCTCAACCCTGCAGTGCTTTACCGTCTGCTGCCGTGTCGGTCCCGCTCCCTTTCTCCAAGCAAGCCCGGTGTGTCTGTGTTAATGTTGTTTACAAGCTTCCAGTTGCCCAGTTGTGCGTGACGTTTATTTATAGCCACAGCAGAGCTGGGCAAGGCGTGAGGTGTGTTTTTTCCCCAAGGGCAGGGGGCTGCACTGTGACAGGAACTGCAGGAACACAACACCTGTCTGAACAGAGGTGACGCAGAGGAGAGAAAATAGGGAAATGAAAGGAATCCAAGCGCTTGGAGGATTCCAGGAAAGAGTAAATGAGTTAATGCGTTGTCACTGGCTCCTTTGAGGTTAAAAGCTGAACTGGTTCAAAGCTGGAAGCCAGCAACTGATGGCAGCTTTTAGATTGCAGTGCTTTTACGTGGGTCTTGTTACGCTCGAGACAGAGAGGGCTTTGATTTGTCCAAGCCCCGTGTCTCGCGCTATTTCTCAGCCAAGGAGTGCAGGAGGGGACTGTCCTCCCTTACGCTGTTACTGCTATCCCCGAGGAGCCAGGACGAAGGAAGGACTCCTGTTCTGCTCTCTCCTCTGTGCTGGGGGTGTCACATCTCAGTGAGGTTTATTTATTAGGCTGGTGCTTTTTTGGGAGGGTGTGCTTGGTGCAGAGCGAGCTTGAGGTAGATGGAGGCAGGGTGAGAACTGGACAGTCTTCATCCCGGTGACAGGAGTGCTGCTCAGAGAGGGAATTCATGTCGACTGAACAGTCTTTTCTTCAAGAATTTAATGTCTGTCTTATGCAGGCGTTGGTTGTAAGGCTTGGATGGTTCTTGGACAAAAACTGCAATCCAGAATTAGGCCCTGGAGGTGCCCAGCTCGGGTAGTCCCAGGTCCAGGATGGTGTGTAGGAATCCTGCGCTTTGGCTGCCAGACCGTGCTGGCTCCTCTCGACGTGAAACCCACTGGGCCATGAGCACTCACACATCTGAGAAATGCGGTCACCTCCCGTGTATCGATCACACTGCCCATCGAGGTTCACCTTAACCAGGACTTGGCCACTCTTGGGCACCTTTCTAGGGTGAGTTGGCTGCTGAGCTCAGTGCTGTTGGCTGGGCTGGTCCGCAGAGGGAGCAGTCCCAGTTCTGGTGGCTTTGGGTGACCTCTGCTGACAGAGCCAGAACACGGCCGTGTCACAGGCAGAACGTGGGGTCCCGAGCATTGCTTCAGGTGCCCCCTAAATGCTCAGCAGAGATCTTGGTATGGCCCTCGCCCAGCAGAACCTCCCCCATGCCCGGCCGTCGTCCACCCATTCCGTAACGCTCTGCTCAGGGTTTTGGTTTCACCTCAAACTCTTTCTGCAAGGGCAATAACAGAAATAGGTGGAGTAACCTTGGGAAGGAGCATTTCTTTGTGCAGCTGCCGGTCTGACAGGGCCCTGGTCCCACCTCTGACCTTTCACAGGCAGGTGAGAACGGAGGAGTGAACACTCGGCTCTGCATCCTTGGACTTTCTTCGCACTCCCCGCTCTCACTCCACCTTCATTAAGTTGTTTTTTGTTTTCCCCAAGCACAGCTTTACTGTAAGACTCTCGTTCACCTGTGTATCTGGTGTGTAATCTCAGTTCTTTAACAGTTTTCTTAAATACAAAATACTTCAGCCACGCCTCCAGGGGCACACGAAAACCTTGTATTTTAGACAAAAAAACTTCTCTGTAGTTTCAGAAGGGAACTGGGAAAAGTGATCCCTTGATGCCCCAGCCCAGAGGTCTGCAGCCCCTCAGGAGGCTGTGAAGCCGTTTCCTGAACTGCCCTGGGTCTGATGGGGGACACTGGGGCAAATGGTGCTGCTGGGCGGCTGCAGCACGGGGAGTGCACCGTGCACACAGAGCAGGCGTCATCGTGAAACGACACTGCGACCCCAGCAAACAGGATTGCTGGAAGAAAACAGTTGGACCACCTTCACAGGACACCACAGCGACTCCCCAGAGCGTCCCTTGAAGATTTGCCCTCAAGGGGTTGGGTCAACGCAGATTATGAAACAGAAACTGAATGTGCCACCTCCCAGCCCTCTTCACCCCAGAGGTACAGACACGTAGAGCAGTTTTCCTGGTATCCCTCCCTGCCCCTTTGCTCATGCTAGAGGAAAGAACCAGAGACACACAAATAAATTAATCAAAATTTATTTATGAAACCTCCCTGTAGCTTCACTAGATCAGGAAAAGTGTTTTCTCAGTTGCTTGAAAAGAAGCACAAGGAAAACGGTCTCAGGACATTGCAACTTCTGTCCAACAGAAAAAGACTTGAATTTTCTCCTGTGCTCCAAGAAAGTGGTCCCTTTTACCCAGAGTCAAGTAAGAACAGTCCCAGCCCCAGCAGAATCAGGGGCTGAAATAATAATCCAGGGTCTGAAACTCTGCGTGAGTGTCTGGCCATGGCTGTGTCTGATCAAACGCTCTACCTGCTTTCCTCCTCCCTGTCCTGGGGACCCGGTGTGACCGTCTCTACCTGCATCACGTTGTGGTTCCCGATCTGAACCATCCGAGCGTGCTGAATGATGAGGGGTGGGACGCCTCCTGCGCCTGGCATCACGCTGTAGTGGCCTGAGGGGAGATGAAGCGGCTGGAAAGGAGGGGGTCCCATCTGAGCAGGCATGGGGTGAGCGGTGTGGGAAAGCGGGTACGTGGCAGGGGGGACACCCGACGGCGGCGGCCACCACTGCTGCGGCGATGGCTCCGGCAGCTGCGGCTGCGTTGGTGGTGGAGGCACCTGGGGAGAGGAGCCAAGGCTCAGAGCAGCCAAATTCTGCTGCGTTTGATACCGCTCCTGGTACAGCTGTAGCTTCCTTTCCTGCACCAGGTCCCACGTGGCCTTCCTCTCGTTGATCCTGCTGCTGGTGAAGGTGTTCTGCACCGTCTTGGAGAACATGGGCGAGTTCTCGTCCAAGGGCATGAGCCCACCGAGTGTGCTGGGGATCTCGCTGCGCTTCAGCGGGTTCTCCTTGGGTATGAAAGGGATGACCGAGTCGCGCTTGCCTGGCTTCAGGATGGACTCCATCAGCACTGTGTTTGTCTGAAACAGGCAGAGGTTGCAGGAGAAGTTCTTGGTCAGGAGGAGGATGATGAAGGCAGAGTTCTCCATAGCGTCCTGGAAGCACGTCATATGGCTGCGTCCTGCGATGAAGAAGTCCTCGCAGAGCGTGGCACCGTTGGGAACCCCCATCTTCTCCAGCAAGTCCTTGACCCGATGAGCAACAAACTCATCTTCGCTGGCGTGCAGGATAACGAAAGTGAAGAACTTGCCACTGTCTGGCTCTGCTGTGGGCACTGCTGCTGCAGCGTGGAGAGGCGGCCAGGCTGGAGACGGGGATGAGTGGAGGGCAGTGGGATGTGGTAAGCTGGAAGGAGGTCCCTGAAGAGGAGGAAGGGCTAAGGAGAAGGAATAGGGAGGAGGAGGAGGAAGAAGGGAGGAGGCCAAACTGGAAGCAGGTGCAGAGTTAGAAGAAATGCCTGCTGGAACAGAGTCCTCCTCCTTGGATGTATGGGCACGACGAGCATCCACTGTAGCTCTTGAATCTGGAAGACCTGTAGATAATGACTTTTCATCTTGCTTTTTGTCTGTGCTTGCTTTCAGTACACGAGGTTCTTCTGCCACCGTGCTGGAAACATCACTGCTTTCCTCGGGGTGGTTCACAGCACCTGTGGGCAGCTGCATGTCGGGAGCAGGGAGATCTGGACGGACCTGGAGAACCTCCTCTGGTTGGGGAAATTTGGCCCCTGTGTCCTGCTCAGGATGAGGGTTGGATCTGCTGGCCCAGCTTGTCTCCTGCAGGCCGTGGCTCTGTCTGTCTACGTCCAGCTGTCCAGCGCCACCGGTGCTCCCTTCGCACAGCTGGCTGGGCTGGGGGACACGCTTTTGGGAGGGCTGGGTGTGAAACACAACGGTTGGTGATGCGCTGATCTCAAAGTGACTGGGGAAAGAGGGGCTCCCCACGGAGTGCAAGGTCCGTGGGCCTGAAAGGTCTGAGTTGCCTCCAATCTGCACCGGGGAACTTCTCACCCCATAGTTTGGTTTGGGTTTCTGGACAAATGCTACATCCACATCAGATTTCAGCGTCTGAAATTTGTCACCAGGGCCCATGCTGATACCAGAGCCCTGTTTGTCCTGGACCTCTGCTGGGATGCTGCTGAGCGTGTCCCGAGTTTCCTTGCTGGTGGTGTGGGCTCTGGAGGCAGCCTGGCAGGCTCTGTCCATGGCTTCGTGGCTGCACAGCTTTTCCTCTGCCAGCACTGAGTAGATCTGTGCCAGAAGCGCCATGGCACCCGCATCCAGTTGGGGAGGCTGCAAATCCTCCCTGTCCTGCACGCCTGCAGCTCCCAGTTTGCTCTGGTGGACATACCGGGCTGCCTGGTTGTCTCCTAAGGCATCCAAACAAATTCTTGCATCTGCTTCTTGCCCCAGAGTAAGCAGCACCATGGCTTGCAGTAGTTTGCTGCAGGGCCCAAGTATCAAGTGCTTCAGTTTGTATTTGAGGCTAAGGAGTTTATCTGGTGGGATCTGGGATAGGATATTAAAAACATCCTCAAAGCTTGGCTTGAGCTCAGTGCTCTGTGCCATCTTCATCAGCTGCTGGCCCAGACGATGGACTGAAGCGACATGGATGGACAAAGCATATTACAGTGCTCGGAGCGAAGGTTTGTCCCCCTGCGGTGCTCTGTGACACCCCAGTCGCACTTCAGGTACCACACAAGTGATGGCTCTTCACTGCTGGTCTTGGAGCCAGGATCTCTGCTGAGGAACTGCCCAGGTGAACCTGCGGGAACATGGGGCAACGATGAGAAACAGCGGTGTGGGGAGCTGGGGGGTCCTCACAAGGCTTCCCAAGCTCCCTCACAGCTCTCCAGTATTTTTGCATCTATTCAGTGCTTGCCAGCGCTCCACGCGCTACTTCAACTCTTGTTAGTAAGCAAAAAGCACATTCTTTGCATTTATTTCACATTCATTACAACTGTTTTAAAGTAACTGCTGAACTAATAATGTATTTAGGAAAATCCAAGTGTCTGTCTCCTCAAGGGGCTCCTTGCAATGGGTGGTTGAGAAATAAAGCGAGGAAGCCCTTTCAAATTGGGGAGTGTCGATAACCCCCTCACGTCCAGTGCCTGGTGTCGCTGCGGACGTTGTATCCCCATCCACATCGGATCCCTGAGCCCTGCTAAACCCTTGCACTCACCAGAGACCTCTGACCGGAGTTAAATTAAGCCGCAGCGCTTGTCGGGTGTGGAGGAGCGAGTGGGTCACTTCTGAGCCTGGTGGAAAACCGTCCTCTATTTAAAGCCAATGCCCCAAAATAGCTCTCAACCGGGGAAAGTTTGTAATTTCAATTTGCTTCTTTTCTATCTTGCAAAAATCCTCCAGTTGCCCAATGAAGGAGTTCAGGCCGAGCCTCAGGAAGTTGCTGGCTCTTCCCATGATTCTGACCCTCGCCCTGAGGGCTGGTCCCCGACGGGCTGCGGGCGGGGAGCGGCAGCAGGGCTCCC